CAAGAAACCACCACCTCAGGTTACCCTCACTGCTCACTGTACACTAGTTATAAGCATTAGCATAGTATAAGTAACTCCCACCAGCACCATGACAGTTTACAAAATGCCATGGCAACTCCCAGAAGTTAACTCTGTGGTTTAGAAAGAGGAGGAACCCTCATCTCCCAAATTCCCAACCGTTTCCCAGAAATCTTATGAATAATCCTCCCTCTGCTTAACACAAAATTAAATAAAAAATATACAATAAGACCTGGGAAACAAAGTGCTACTCTCTGTTGCTGTGAGAGATAGCCGCTGCTGTGCCTATGGTGCCGATATGTCTCCTTGGTTTTTCACGTTCCTTGTTGCCTTATGTTGATGTCTGTGCATTTGGTGCAGCATTCACCTCTTCCAGACTGGTTTCGGTGTGGCAGAGCAATGTGATGGCACTGGCTGCGTAGGGTGCAGCAGTGAGCAGTGTCGTCTTCATGCAGCTGTCGGCTGAGGTCGCTATTGAAGATTTCAGGAATCCTCACACTGTCAATGTCTGCTGTGGTGGCTGTGGCTGTAGTAAGGTCATCTTGATCTTTTTCTCCCACTGGGGAAACTGTGGCTGAGGGGAATCCTTCTCAGCACTGGGCCCGGTTCAGCTGGCAATGGCCCTGGAGACTGAGTGACACCCATGGAGCAACCATGTTTTGGGGTGGTAATGGCACCAGGCCCAGGGTACAGACACCTACTTGACAAATTGATAATAGTATGTGAGGTGTGGGTACTTTTAAAACAACTAGGGAGCCAGGGATGAGAGCGTGAGCATGTACATGTGTACAGCTACAGTGGCTTTGGGCTGAGCTAGTGGCCAGAGAGTAAACACGAGACCTTTGCTTGGGGGTCCAGGGTGCGAGCACCGTCACTATGGCAGTGGCTTTAGTGTCTGTGGTACGGTTGTAACAACCCAGCCGTAGGAGGCAGGGTCTGGAGCATGGGTTCTCAGTGACAGCTGAGCTAGGGTTTAGCGTGCAGACATAAACAGACCTTGGCTCTGGGGTGCACACAGGCTTGCTATGGCAATGGTTGTTGGTTACCTTAGTGGCAAAAGATGCTTTTATTCTCTGTGGAGCAGGCCACATGCCTGATAATGATAGCCTCTCTCTTTTTCTTAGCCATCTCCTGGTGTCTCAAGGATTCTGATTTCACAAGCAATTCTTTCTGTGTGGATACTCTGTTGTTTTGTGCTCTATTGTGCTCCTGCAGATATTAAGTGGGCCCTTGAACTCTCTCAGGGCTATTTTGGTTTGTCTGTAGCTGTCTGTATTTGTTTCTTTTGGGTAAGGGGTGGACAAAGGCTGCTATCTTCTACTATCTATCACTTGCCAACATTTCTGTGTACTTCTGATTTAAGCATTTTTTGGTATGTATAACATACTTTCAAACGAAGTCATTAGCTAAAATCTAGGAAGGCCTTTTCTCCCTCTGGGACAGAAGTGATGTTTATTACATCCTCTCTCACAGATCAAAAGTAAGGCATAGATCCACACCTCAAGTTGGTGGAGGAGTAAACACTGCCCAGAGTGAAGCCACAGCAAGGGAGGAATAATTTTGAACAAATGCTGTAAGAGTACTTTTCTTTTTTCTTGGAATCAGAAAATTGTCTTTATTATAAGACTCTCTTTTAAAGCATCTACACTATGCCAGGTAGTATCCTAAGTACTTTACATGAAGTAGCTAAGATAACCCTGGGCAACAAGTACTACTATCATACTCATTTTACAGATGACTTGGAGGATAAGATAACTTGCCCAAAGTCATATAGCTAGTAAGTAGGACAAAAAGTTTTAAACCCAAGCAATCTGACTTATGAGCCTGCCTCTAGGAGGGTACTTTTAAAATTTTTGACTTTTTTCCTTAAGATCCCTTTACCTTGATTACCTTATAGTAACAATAAATATTTAATTCTCAGATATAAATTATATCGAGTTGTAAGGAAGAAAACGATTGTTGAAAATACCATACTATGCATTAGTGCATTTGTAGCTGATTTATCTAGGGAATGGTAGATGTGTGTACACCCTGAGTATAACTATTTTTAAAATTCTGCCCAGCAGAATACAGCAGCTTAAAATGAAAATCATCTGATTAGTGGTTCTCAAATTTTGGTGTACATCAGAATTACCTGGTAGGCTTGTTTAAAACATAGACTGCATCCAGGTGTGGTGGCTCACGCCTATAATCCTAGCACTCTGGGAGGCTGAAGTGGGAGGATCACTTGAGGTCAGGACTTCAAGACCAGCCTAAGCAAGAGCAAGGCCCTGTATCTACAAAAAACAGAAAATTATTTGGGTGTGGTGGCACATGCCTGGAGTACCAGCTACTTGGGGGACTGAGGCTGAGGCAGAAGGATCACTTGAGCCCAAAGGTTTGAGGTTGCTGTGAGCTACAATGATGCCACTGCACTCAAGCCAGGGTGACTGAGCAAGACTATCTCAAAACAACAAAAACCACATAGATTGCCAGGCTCCACCCCAGAGTTGCTGACTCAACAGGTCTGGGTTGGGGCCCAAGAATATGCATTTCTAACAAGTTCCCAGGTAATGCTGCTGCTGCTTGTCCAGACAACCACACTTGGAATACCACAGCTTGGCAGCACCTCCAGTTCTTCTTTTTATTTTGGGCTTTTTCTATTTCTCTTGACATTAATGAAATAAAGCAAAACCACACATTTGAAACTCTTAGATGGAGAACAAATTTTATTCTAAAAATAGATCTTGGTAACAATTAAATACCAAAAGCTGGTCATTACAATAAAAAGGGAAAAAAAGGAACAGGAGTTTGCTTTGTTTTTTTCCTGAAAATACAAAATTATCACTGTAATATACTGCCAACTCTTATTTATCTCTATCTGAATTATTCTTTTTATGGATTATCCAAGGAAATTTTAAAAATCATAGACTGGCTTCTGCCTCATATTTAGACATACATCTGGATTTTTTATCTTCAAGTAAATACATTCTCAAGGAATGCAAACAAAATCGAGCATTTGCTTAAGTAAACAATTAGGAAGATAAATTTATGCTTAGGAAATATTTTCCAAAGCAAAATATTTTGTATCACCATTTCCCTCATTTTTTGCAAATAACAAAAAATTGTATGGAAAGTACTGGTATTTGAAAGTAACAAGTTATCCTACTTATATACAGAGAAAAGACGTAACTAAATTATTTCACACCCAAGTAGAGGACACTTTCAAGGCATATAATGACATTTAGTACTAAAAGTGGTTTTCTATCTTCAAAGTGCTAAAGAAATAAGTATTCAAGACAAAACTTCAGGCTGGGCCACAAAGGTCTAACTGACTCAAAGTACTAAAATACCAAGAATGCAGGGGACAAAAGTTAAATTTAAAGGCTCTCAGTACTACGACGTATATTTTAACTATATTTTGCAAAGTAATGAAAGCAGTGGGTGCGCAACCTAAAGTTAAGACCAAGTTAGTAACACATAACTCACCCATCAGCCCACATCTCTTTTGAAACTAATCTAAACATACGTGTTTCATAAAATTTCTTCCATACTCATGTGTTACATATTTTTGGATAATTGTTAACATCCATATTTATCAGATCAATTGGTGATAATGCACAGTGAATAGAAATGATCCATTTCAAAATTCTTGATATCACCATTCTCTGCAAATCAAAAGCTGACCTCGAAAGTTTTGTTTTATTCCTATTAAATAGGAATAGGTACATGTAGGTACATGTTTATTAGGGCAGCTTAGTTCATTTTTTAACTTTCAGAAATTGGTGTGCTTTACTTTGGCCAAGATAGTATTTTAATATTTAGTGTGACTAAATACCTCTTTTGTTAAAACTTGACCCTGAGTTTTGAGTACTGGAATATAAACTATAAAACTGAAAACACACCCAAAATACACTGGCTAATGTTGGTGCTTCTACAATACTATGCTGCTTCTCTCCATTAACATAATGTACTGAAAGGACCTCCCCTTCAGCAGTGGAGTAAAAGGAGTGGTCTGGGAGAATACCCAAGTAAGGAAACAGGAAATTTCCTGTCTAAAACTTCCTAAGAATTTATTCCAAAATATGGTGGTGGTTTACTATAAAAATGCCTTTTCCCCAAATCTTGAATAAAATCGACAGTCATTGTCATTCTGCAGGTTTAGTAACCTGGGGGAAGCCCCATAAACCTTGGCTTAATAAACGCAGCATTAATTTAAAGTTTTAACTCCATAGAATTCTAAATGTTGTTTTGGAAATCATGTAAGGGGCTTTAAGTTAGGTGTGTTTACACGCTTAAAAATTTCTAGATATTGAAAGCAGCTCTACATTTCTTAAAATATTCAATTAATATAAAATTAAAATTAACAAATGAACATGAACTAAGGCAATTTCCAGTGGTGACAATATTCTCACAGTAGCAAATTATCTAACTTCTAGTTTTTCTCCTATAATTACAGGATTATTTAATACTAACAACTAAGTCTTTCAAACATTATAATGCTAAACATTGCAGTTTATCTAAATTACACAGAGAAAAATATATCAACTAACACTGAAAGCTCAAAAGAAGTTATTGATAAAATATACATGCTCTCCAATGATCCAATGGATCTCTAACAGGTTTTACTTGAAGATTTTTTTAAAAAATTGATGTGTGTTTTGTTTCTAGACCAAATACTACACTTTAAAACAAGTAAAATGTTGATACTTTAAGTTATACTTCACTGGTTTACTCGACTGTATAGATTCTGTTGTGTGGCATTAGTAATTAGGATATATCCAGCTCTGAAAAGCACTGCAAGTTCTTTGTGTGAGCAACAAAGGCGTTCAAAATCCTGAGCGCTACGGCAGGCTTCTTATTTGTACCCTCAGATGCCATCCTGCCCTTCAGTGATGATGTCTTTCAATTACTGGTCCTGTGTGACCAATGCCACAAAAAAATGGGACGTGTTTTACTATGAATTTGCTAAAAGTGGACATAACCATTGCATTAACTGACTGTAAGTTCTAGCTATTTATTAAAAAACCCAAACCAAACCCTTTTTACCTTTAGTAATCCTGAGGAATCCTTACATATTTATGTAATACACATTGTACGTTATATGCATGGCCTGTTCATACTATTTTCAAGAAGAGAATAATGGTTTTAAACTACTAATCAAAATTGATAGGGCTAAATCAATTTGTCTTCTTTCCTTGGTCCTTGGATTTCCTTAAATGATGGCATCATGTTCATCTCTGTAACATCAAAAGTTACAATTATTTTGTATTCCTATCAAAACTATTTATATGTTCGTATTTGTAAGTAAAGTAACAGAACAATTTCAAGCTTCACAGTCAAAATTGTCAGTGCTCTGTGTAAAGTTTCCAAGTAAAGTATCCAATATACTGTAGTGGTTAAAGATTTCAACAGCAGTTAAAGTTGTCGAACAGACCTGCACTGAAATCTCTGCTTCTTAACTGTCTGAATGACTTTTCATCAGTTAGCTATTATAACTTACCTCTTTAAAAACAAAACAACAAAAACAAACACTCAAACCCCATATAGCATTTCTTGAACATTTACTCTGTGCCAGGTGGTATGCTATAGACTTTCTATCTCATTTAATATGCAGAGGGCATTTATTTTTATTCATTATCCCATTTTTCAGAACTCAGGAGCTAAAGCATACATGTGAACTCTCTTATCTTCAGAGTCTGAGCTTTTGACCATGCATACTATACTGCCTCATTTATATAAGCGTGGGAAGATACCCTGCTAGTCAACAGCAGAACCAGTCTCAAAACTAAATCTGTCTGGGTCTGAGGGGGAGGGAAATGAGCAGTTTGCTATTCAACACGTATAAAGTTTCAGTTACCCAAGATACATAAGTTCTAGAGATCTGCTGTACAATATTGTGCCTATAGTTAATGACACTCTATTATACTCTTAAAATTTGTTAAGAGGATAGATCTCATATTAAATGTTCTTACTATAATTTTTTTTAAAAAAGCAACTAAATCTGTCCCAAGTCCTGTCTTTTAACTATTTCACTCCATTGACTCTTAATGTAACTCTAAGAAACAAGAAGCTAAAATTTTCATCAGTGTTTTAATCTAATAAATGAAAATCAGAAATGCACAAAACTAGATATAGAAGATCTCAGTTTCTTTACTGGGACAAATATTAAGTCCTTACTACACAGTACAATTTTGTTATAGCTTCAAAGGAACTACTGGCTTTAAAATGGACTATTTTTTTTATGTAGCACTAAGAAAATCACAGCCAATTAAACATCCAACATAGTGTTTTCTCATCCCATAGACTGTAAGGTGCATCCTAATTGCAGAGATGTTAAAATATGGAAAAAAATAAAAAGGGTGAACTCAAACTTGACTAAATATGGTATTTTTACCATCTACTGACTCCTATATGGAAATAAGACTCCCTTCAGAATGAATCTTCCAGTCTGCTTCTGCCAGCACAGTTCCCATGCAATATGGGGATTCTTGGATTTTGACTTCTTCCATAGGGCACATAGCATTACTGGGTCATGTACATGTGAGAAAAAAATTAGCTCATAAAGCTAAAATTACATACTTTGTAGTTACAGCAGTTTAAAATGAAAAAATAGCACATTTTTTAGCTTAATTGCTTCACTATTTAACAGCCCCAACCATATCAACAATGTTATAATAATAAAAAATGAATGGCATTTTAATTTACTATAATA